TTATCTTCTTGTCTGAATAAAACATCATTAATAACATCAAAATATAAATCAGACCTACACATGAAAGTTCTAAGAAATTGTCTCAGCTTTATAGGAAAAAACATTGAGGTCATTTGGACTTTTAGAACTCAAGATATAGGCTGAACACTGAATAATGTTTGGGCTATAGGACAGGTTCAAACTTCTTTCTTTTGCTATAATTTAGACTTGAAAACAACCTTTTTAAATCTTAAACTCCCATGAAAGTTGTAGGCCTATGTCTTACCTTTCCATCTATAAAAAGTAAACCTAAATTCGAGATCTTCAACTCCAGATATGACCCAATTGTCAAACAGTGTTCTAGTTTAAACTACACTAGCATCTCTTTTATAAGTTTGGTCATCTCTTTGTCTTTTCAATTTCAATACTTAAACTCATCAATCAATCTTTTTATTTATGTGATAGGTCTACATTTAAGATGAACATTTACCATAAATTAGAGGTATCTTATATTATTAGATATGATATTATAAAACATGCTTTAGTTAAGGAGTTATTGATACTTTAAGTGTAAAATGATGATATAAAATCTTGATAAAAATACACTTTTAAGTACTAATCAATTTGTGAAACCCTTTTCGTGTTTTATTCTTCATCGAGTAGGTCACCTAAAAAAATGAGACCACTCGTAAAATCTTTCATGTTGCTTCTTCTTATTGGGTAGGACGCCTAGAACAATTACATCACTCACGAAACCCTTTTCACGTTTTATTCTTCATCGGGCAGGTCACCTGGAATAATTAGACCATCTTTCTTTAAAAAAAAAAACTCAATAAAAAAAGGGAAAGAAAAAGAGAAAGGGTTTTCACAATTATTCTTGTTTGCAAAACTTACTATACAAAGTCAAAAGAAAATATATTTTCTAATACCTTTACACCATAAGCATTGTAAAGAGAGGACAACTATTGTAACCCAATTTAGGCCCATTGGCCTTTTAATTTAATTTTACAGGGTTTAAGATGTAAAATTAAAATATCAAAGATTTATTTTGATGAAAAGTGTGATTTAGTAACTTGCATGAAAACTAGGGACTATAATGTACTTTTTTTCATTCTATCCTCATCTTCAAGATAGTCCATATCTTCAAGATAATCCTTGTCTTCAAGATAATGATAGTTATCCACTTTCATATTTGATTCTTAATCAAATTCAAACTTAAAAAAAAGAGAATAAGTTTGATTGAAACTTTATTTCTCACATGCGAAGGAACTCTGACACTATAAATATAGACCTTAGTGTATGCAAAAAGGAGGAGAAAACAAAAGGCAGAAGGAATAATACCAATTTTCCCAACAACGAGCGTCTGCATCAATCTTCGCTCAAGAAGTTGGCAACAACAGTCCAACAACAGGTAAGTCATTTTGTCCCCTCCTTGTCACTTTTAATTACCCTCTTCTTATAACAAGTGTGTGCAAGTAGCTCATACATGCTTATAAAGAAAAATATACTAGTTGTGTTACTGGTCTGAATCAGTAACTAGGCTGATTTGGCTAGATCCAACCCAAAAAGAAAAAAGAGTGGGCCGGGTCTAGGCTTTAGGTCCAGCTTGCTCAAATTGTATTTGCTAGGGGTGCGCTTGACAAAACACACCCTTATATCTTAACCATAATTTTTATGCCTATTCTAATTTGATATTTGACCTAACAAACCCCTTTTCGATAACAAAAAATTTTAAAAATATTTGGGCGCCTTTGTTGATTTATTCATGGGCCCCTTAAGCTTTGTTTTATTTTTTTCTTCGTGTTTATAATATTTTTTTTTGTAGATGAGCTCAATCTGTGGACTATTACTGTTAAATGCAAATATGTCGTGCAATATTTTTTTTACTTCCATCTAAAAGGGGGAAATAATGCTAAAGGATAAACAAGAAAAAAAATAACATAGAAAATTTCTTCTTCAAATTCATTTTTAAAAAAAATATTTACTGACACCAGAGTCAGAAGTATCATATTTTTCTTTTGGATTTGTGTGATATTTACCAACGCCAGAGTTGGAAATATTCGTAGGAATTGTTAACTAACACTAGAGTCAAAAACATGAAAGGAAGAATAAAAAAAAAAAAGAAAAGAAGAACAAATTCTTAGCAATTTTAGACAAAACCAGTAATGCACCCTACCTTAGGTAAGATGCTTAAGGGATGATAGTATCTTTCCTTTTACGCAACTAGCCCCGTGCCATATAATTTCAGTTGACCAATTAAGATTCTTAGTGACCATAATACTAAATACTAACTCCTAAACAAGACCTTTCCCTTAAAAGAACAAAATATCAGATATTTTTTTTTCCAATTGAGAGTTAATTTTTAAATAGTTGCTGTAATGTCCGGATGTGACAAGGTAAGATATTTTTTATTTGTATTGTATTGAGAGAATTATCATTTTTCTCATGCTAAAACTTTGCATTTTATATATGAAAAAAAAATCTAGAAAAAATATTTCAACTTTTCAATATGGCAACCTTATTTCTCCATTAAAAGTTATAATAGGCTTGTAACTTGTTATAATAAAAAGAGATTAAAAGGAGAGGGAGAGGGGGAGAGAGAGGGATGAGAGACACTAGGAAAGGGGAGAGAGAACTCGGTTCGATCAAGGCAATTGAGTTCACTCCACTTAATTTTTTATTTTTATCAATTGTACTCTAAGTAAATTTTAAAGCAAAGTGTTGTTAGAAAATTATTTTTTCAGAAAGCCGTTTGCAGTGGGGGGAACAAATAATGATGATATACATATGGCATATTGTGAATTTACAAATTTACAAGGAAGAACAATTTTTTTTGGCCCAAGTTTTGTACTTTTATCCTCTGTTTTTCAGTTTCTTTTTCTTTAAAAATTCGAAGAAATTAGTCATTGATTTAGGGAGAAAAAATTCAATTAAAAAAAAATTGATGATGAAACAAAAACAACGAACATTTTATTATGGGTGTGAAAAGCGGCATTCTTTATATATATATATATATAATGACGGTCACGAGGGAATAAATTTCTTGGTTTTGTATGGGTGCCACATAAGCCTTAATTGAATAATGGCATGTAAACTAAAAAAGAAAATGCATAATTAAGTTATGAAAAGGTATTGTCTCAACTATGCAATGGGTTTGCCTAGGGATTTTGAGAATTCCAAATTATCAGTGGGCTATAATAAGCGTTACTGATGAGTGGAATAAAAATAATAATAACGTGACTTGATGCAGGCAATCTTGCTCAGTTACACCACCAATATAACCCATTGAATCCAACTCTGTTCCACTACCCTGGTAATAGGAAACGTCGAAGCAACGCTTTATATTTTTGGGTTAACTTTGCAAGAGCTTTCATTTCACAAGAGAAACAGAAGGTACATCAAATCAAGGTGGGCTGAAGCCCTGCATTCATTGTTACATTGACACGACTAAAAGATTGATGTCTTCTCCCAAGTACAGGAGTGTCGAAGTAATAAATAACCCAGCAAGACCGGGGTCGAACCACAGGGAGGTTAATTGTAAAAATTATAAACAACAATTATAAACAACAATAATAGTAATAATTATGGGCTATGAAAGTGCCAAGCATTTGTTGTACCAAGTGTTATACAACATAAATCAAGATTAGTCATTTAACAAGCAAAGTATTAAAGAGTGAACAAGATAGCAAATATAAAACATGTTAGTATCAAACATTAAAGTCCATATTAAGTTTACATTATACTTATTCTTACACCATTAGTGTAACCTTTTCACCTTGACATAATTAACTTAGCTAGACATAATGAAAGAAAGCAAAATAGATAAACAAAATAAGAACATAAAAGTTAACTAAGTAAAGGAAAGGAAATGAAAGGCATAAACTTAATATTAATGAAAACAAAGCATAAAAAATACAAAGAGAGAAAGGAAGAGCATGATCTTGATCTGAACACCAAGATGCCTAAATGCATGGCAAATGCCTCCTTTTATAGGCCAAAATTGGGAACTATTGATTTGATGACTAATTGATAAGTGGGTGACCAACTTTTGACTTGGTGACAATCCTTATCTTCTCTTGTCTGCCCAAAACGTCATTGATAACGTCAAAATTGGAGCCAGTTGCAAACATGAAAGTTGTAGGCAATTGTCTCAGCTTTCTTGTGTAAAAACTTCAGCTCATTTGGACTTCTAGAACTCTAGATATGGCCAAAATACCGAACAGTGCTCGGGCTGGAAGACAGATTCGGGCTTCTTTGTTGTTGCTACAATTTGGACTTGATAATGGCCTTTTTAGATCTTGGGCTCCATATGAAAGTTGTAGGCCTATGTCTTACCTTTCTATCCATATAAATTGGACCTAAATCTGAGATCTGTAGCTCCAGATATGACCCAATTACCGAACAGTGTTCCGGTTTGGATTGCACCGACATCTCTTTTCTAAGTTTGGCCATCTCTTTATCCTTGCAATTTAAGTTCTTCAAGTCATCAATCAATCCTTTTATTTATGTGATAGGCCTGCATTAAAACTAGACATTTACCACAAATTATAGGTATTTTATATTATTAGATACATTATTATAAAACATATTTTAGTTAAGGAGTTATTGATACTTCAAGTGCAAAATGATGATATAAAACCATGATAAAAATGCACTTTTAAGTACTAATCATACATCAAGTTCATCACTAATAGTTTTAGCTAGACAAGCTAAAGAATGAGTAACTTTGCTGTTAGACCGGCGGATATCGGCAGCACAGAAGCTCAGTTTTAGCTAGACAAGCTAAACAATGAGCAACTTTGCTGTTAGACCGGCAGATATCGGCAGCACAAAAGCTCTGAAACTTGGCTGAGAAGTTAAGGGTGTCATCTGGAACCAGTTCAAGGTAGTTAGCTGTCCGAACTCGATCATTGGAAGTTCCTGGATCAGGGAGAGGTAGTCTGTTTCAAAAACAATTTTGTGCAAGCCCAGGGCCCAGGCACTAACCCATAGAGTCCTACAAAAGCTTCACCCATTTCACTCTATTGGAGTTTATAATATGTTTACGGTCGTTCAACATAATCTGGCCCTCTAAAAATTACGGGTGACAACTCCAAACTCCATAAGTATTGGCATGAAAGCTATGTCTATGGTGATCTTGTACCAATCCTCACGTGGGGGAAACCAGTGAGAGATGACAGTGTTGTGTTAAGTGAGATGAACTAGTCAAGGCCTGCTTGTATGCTGACAAGGTGGAGTTAGCTATCTTAATAATGCTTCTAGCAGGACTTCTAGTTTTGAAAGTAAATAGTGCTCCCGGCATACCATAGAGCCCATAGCATAGCCCTTCTTCTGCTCTATCTCCATCACAATTAGAAAAAAAAGGAAACCTGAATCACTACCTGATGTTGTTCATGTGATATTGAAAGGTCCCACTGGCGCGAAATCTTTTCTTCCAATGTCAGCAACCTGGCAATCATGCAAAATATGCGTTGTAGTTTTTCAGTATTGGTTGCATGTACCACAGCAATAATCACTATAGGTCCCAAATATGCTGACAGCTGCAGAAGTCGTGGTATCTGTTTGTGTTGGATTCTTCCGTCTTCTTTCTAACCCATGCCACATGATAAAACACCCCCAACTGTGAAAGAACCAGATTTTGTACGCTCTGGTGGGGCAACCAGATTGCTCAGAACCAATAAAAAAAAATGGAAGGGATAAAATTAAATTAGACAGGTCGAAGAATGATCTTGGTGTTCATTGAGAATGAGAAAAAAACAAAAGCCAAGAAAAAAAAAAGTGCAGCAAATAGCCGAATTGATGTTAAGGAGTAAAGACTAGTAAATATGTAAAAATTAATTTATGGTGTACCTTCCGAGTCCAAATGCCAACCAGCAAGTGACCCTAAACATGAACAGCTGCAGCTGTGAGTTTTCTTTTCATTATACATGAACAAATACCAGCCATATACGCAACTAAAATTGGCATAGCAACAAGTCAGCAACTAGACTAGCTTTTTTGTTTTCCAACGCATCCTCTTCTGGGTGTTAATTACAGCTACCAGAAATGCTCTCACATCAAAAAGGAATATAGGTCTTGAAGTGATGGAACAACTGACCGAACCAAAAGAAAATTGCAGTTTTAGTTCACCAGCATATGATCGAATCCTCCCCCAGCCTGAAGTCCTGGAACCCGATTCCCTCCGACATTGTGAAGCAACTGTTGCAGCCATCGCCTTGTTGTTGGATCTTCCTAGATAAATTACAATTTACAAAGAACATGAAATTGGTTGTTCACTGAAGAAAGAAGGGGGATGGGGGAGGGCAAAAAATATACTTGATTTGAAAATTATTCCAAGCAAAAATTTGAAGAACCTATAGGGGTGAAATTGGTTGTTTACAAAGAACATCACTTGAAACTCCAATATTAATATTGCCGACACAAAATATTTTTTGTGGCATGGAAAACAAATAAAGTTGATATCCTACGCAGCTATCAAATTTTTCACATAAACACGTGTTGCAGTTAGCAACGTCAGTGAACCATGTACTTGGTTAATCATTGTGTCATAATTATTATAATCCCCATCTCAAGCCACACTAGCTTAAGACTTAAACTAGCGATCTGCCACCTTTTGTTATGATTAAACATAGAGATATGCCCCGTTCAACTTTATCTACAGAACGATCAAACTCATGCAATTCAATCCAACAGCCCATCACTCACATGGAAAACTACAGGGGTGAAATTTCTATCGATGGGTTATTATTGCCAATGCCTGCAGAAACAAAAATTGCATACTCAATGCAGAAGTAGAATCTCAATCAGTGTGGCAATAATTAAGCAACACTGCAGAAGTTTGCTTGACTGCTAGTTTGGAATTTCAAACCATATAAAGGCCTTGCAGTACTTGTCTCAGTCAAGATTCACTTGATTACGGACTAGCTAAAAATCACTATCCTCCCAATGAGTCCTGAGGCAATAGACTATGAACAATTACATAAGCTTTACTTACACGAAGGCAGCTACTGAAGGTAGCATCTCTCAGCATGTCTGGCAGGCAACTTCGTAATGCATGACAAGCCCTGAATTCCAAAAGCGAAAAAAATACAATGAAAATAGGAAGTCAAAACAAATGAAAAATGACAAATCATAAAAAATTCAATGCAAGAAGTACGGATCCAGGTAGCTGCTTCGAGCCATTGCTTATTTGGAAATGTAAAAACCTTGGATTATCTGAAAGTCGAAGATAACATCGGATGATATGTTTTAATAACCGTGATGAGGGTTGTTCAGCAAGTGCTGCAACCATGTTCCCCAAAACCCGGCCCACTGCAAAAAACCGTTCTGCTGTAGTGCAAATATAATCCAGGCCCACATCATCCAATAAAATCTTTTGAACTATAAATGTGGCAACCTGCCAACAGAAAAGAAAAAAATGCTTGCTGAGCAATAAATATGACTATTTATCTTATCACATGTATAGGTGACAAGCCATTGTTATTTGAGAACAAAGGAGATAACTCTATCATATAGTAGCTAACAGTCATATGCCAAAATGATAACTACACGTCTGTAATCTGTTTGTAAACATAGCATCTCATAGATATTTCAGGCCCATTACATTCTCCATTACATTTCAACAAAAAATCATATGATTTGCCCAAGCATACACATAATTGGTTGGAAAGTTAGAGCACAGATTGAAACTTTGAAGAAGATATATATTAGCAACCTCAGAATTCTAGCAAGCAGCTGCATAGTAACCAAAAGAATCAAGTGGAGCAACAAGAACAGTGGCAGGCATTTCTGAGCTGGTGTCAGGAAATCAGAATATTTAACATTTTGGTGTGTGAAAAATAGTAAGCAAAATTTAGGTAAGGCTATCTTTCTTGAAATCTAGGCTGTTAAAAGCATATTATACAGGTATGTGATATCTTTTACTACCATTGGTCTTGAAAACAAGCCGTTGAACCTTATCAAGACACTTGTTGTATTTGGTTAGTGTCCCAAACACAAGGGATAAATTTAAAAGTGAGATAAACATTTTGGTTGGAGACACATACATGTGACAATTTTAGAGTGAATTTTTGTTATTTCAAATCAAAATAAGAAGCACAAGGGAACATGTCCTCTCTATCTCAAAATATTAATTTATTTTATTTGAGCAAGATATCATGCGCTGTCTAAAAATTAACATTGATTTCATTATTTGAGAAAGAAAGTGCTAATAAAGAAGTTGAATTAACTCTACACTTAAATTAACTTGGAATCTTAAAATCTAATCTAAAATATAATATTTTTAATACATTGAACTCGGACATTTTCTGGAGTGGTGAACAAGTTTTCTAAGAAAATTGAATAAATTCATTATCACCAAGTGATGCGATCCTAGCTTTAACACCAAGAGATCCATTTGATCTAGTCACAAGACTTAGAGCAAAGAGGTTGAAGAAGACAATTAATAAATCTCTTCAAAATACATGGGTAAGGTGAATTTCAAAAGGATATAAAAAATTGAAGAACACATCTTGATTAATTTGGTTCATGTTCCAGAAGAGCTTGTAAGGAAACATCCATAAATTACAGAAAGATTGGAATAAATGCAGCTACAAAAAGAATTTTGAAATTATTCCAGATGCATTGGAAAGTAGGCACCCACAACTTTCTAGTGATATATGATAGATCTTCTAATTCGTCAAGACAAGGGAAAACTATTTATTTGAAGTTGAGCTTCGATTCTGTCAGCAAATTACGAAATTCGATTTTGGTCTTGTTCTAATTAGTTGGGCTATTATTTATTTTTCTTTTAGTTTAGTTTAATATAGGTTTTGTGGCAATTTAAAGTTTATTTCGGTTACATTTTATTTTATTATTTTAAGCTTTTAATGTGTTAAGGTCTATTTATCATGTTTAAATCAATTAAGTCAAATTAGAATTAGCTCTCTACTATATAAATCGATTGTTAACATTATTTTTGAAGTTTATGAAATTTTCTCTAAAGTTACCACATATTATGTGTTTTGTTTCTCTGTGTGGTTAGGAACTTCTCATACTAAATTCTTGATTGAATTTGCCAACTCTTTGAATGATTAATCAACTTTATTGTGATTTATACTTCTCATTTGCGTCTTGTTATAGGCGTAGGGTAAAAGTAATCAATTGCATATAATTTTGATTCTTCAAAACAAGGTTTTTGTTGGGTCAATTTGCAAACTTTTCTTCAAATTTCAAATTAGCAATCTAAGAAACAATTCCGCATCAATTTAGTATTAGAGCATGGCTAATTTCATATTTTTAATTTTCATTGTTACAAGTAATTATAGGTTTCTTTCAAATCTTGCTATATCTAGGGTTTTCTTTAAATCTTGTCATCTCTAAGGTTTCAGCTAATACAAAAAAAAATATATATGGTTTTGATAGGAAAAGGCCTTGAAGTTGCTGAAAAATTGAATACAAAGCTACAAATTGTGTTCATCTTTATGACTTGAGTAATCCAACACATAAAAACAATCAAAAAAGAATCAAAATCACAATCTTGAAATGATTCTTGGAGAAGAAATTCAGAAATTTTGAATTTTGTATCAACTAGGGTTTAGCCAAAACTTGTCTTGAAAATTCTTGGTGATCTTGATTAATTCCATGCAAATTTGGGTAGAATAGAATTATCTTGCGTTAATTTCTTTAGTTTCTTGATTTCTCGCATCATTTTTTTTGCTTGAATTTCATAGTTTTCATTGTTTCTTAATAATAATTCTTGTTTTTATTTCATGTCTTTGTTTTCTTCATTATATTCACACAAATTTCATAGGTTTTATTTTGAAAAATTTGAATAACGGTTGATTCTTGAGTTTTTATTTTTTACTCTAATAGTCTCGCTATACCTTTTACTACTATTCTTGTATTCCGGTTCTTAAAAGTTGCTAAATTACTTTTAAGAACCAGAATACAAGAATAGTAGTAAAAGGTATAGCAAGACTATTAGAGTAAAAAACTGAATAAATTGTGAAACATGAGTGAATTTTATTTTATTGTGATTAAACACATGAGATTTGGGTGAGGAAACATTTTTGCTACTAACTTTTATTTCAATGTCTTTGAAGTGTTGAAAACAAAATAAAAAATAAATTGTGGAGGAAAGGCAAAATAGAATGAAAGCTATGATGAAGGACATTAATGAACAAATTTGATGAAATGATTAGTGGGCAAGGAATTCTTAGATGAAAGGAAAAGGAAGTTGAAATGTCTACCATTAGGACTATAGTGAATGATGTTACAAGTGGAAGGTGTAATGAAGAAAGAAAAACAGAAACTTAGGAAGAGATGAAAGCAATCATGAGGAAAACGTTTGTACCTACTCACTATTACAGAGAGATATATAATAAATTGCAACCCTTATCTCAGGGTTCTAGTAGTGTGGATGAGTACTCTTAGAGAGATGGAAGTAGTTATGACTAGAGCTAATACACTTAGCTATAAAAGTTAAAAAACAATTGAGAAAAAAGGATAGTACAAAACCTGATGGAAATTAGAGTTAATCTTCGGGTTGGAAGTCGAATTTTAGAAGAGAGAGTAATACATAGATGAAACCAATAAAATAACTACACCTAAAATAGCCGAGAACCTTCCTTTGTTAGGAAGCAAGTTACGACTTTGGAGTAAAAAGAAGCAAATATTGCTCCACCGAAGCATAAGCAAGAGATTAGTTGAGAAAAAAGGATAGTACAAAACCTGATGGAAATTAGAGTTAATCTTCGGGTTGGAAGTCGAATTTTAGAAGAGAGAGTAATAAGCATAAGCAAGAGATTAGGTGTTTTCAATGTCAAGAGCTTGGACATTATACACATGAATGTCCAAATAATAGAATTATGATTATATGAGATGATGGTGAGTTGAAATCAGCTAGTGAGGCTCATTTGAAGGGGATGTCAAAGCTCAATGATTGTAGTGATGTGGAGTATGTTGTGCAAGGAGAGTCATTGATTATAAGAAGATCTTTAAGTGTTCAAGTTTATGATGAGGATGTAGAGCAACATAGGTAGAATATCTTTCATACTAAGTGCTACATTGATAATAAAATATGTAGTATGATAATTGATAATGGTAGTTATACTAATGTTGCCAGCTCAACTTTGATTAGAAAGTTGAACCTAAATGCATATAAAATATGTTAAGGCTCCGTTTGTTTGCAGGAAAGTTATTTCCTTTTGGAAAGTGAATTCCGGGGAAAATAAATTCCTGAAAAGTAAAGTATTTTCCGATGTTTGTAGTGTTATGGAAAATGAACTGGAAAACACTTTCCAGTGTTTGATTATGTTATGAAAAATGAACTGGAAAATAATTTATTAATATTTTATTTTTCTCAAGTTTATTAAAATAATAATGAATAAATCTTACAAATTAAAAAGTTGAATAATAATGAAATTGAAAGAAAAAATAATTTCATAAATTATCTCAAATAAAATAAATAATAATCAAAATAATAAAGATCAAATCTAAAAAAAAAGATGAAGAAATTAAAATAATAATAATTAACATTTCATAAAGTATTTCAAATAAAATAAATAACAATCAAAAGAATGAGAACCAAATTTGATAGAAAAAAATTCAATAAAAAAATAATAGGAGAAAAGCAAATAATAATTATAAAAATGAGGACCAAAGTTAATATAAAAATTAAATTTTAAGAAATGAAATTGAAAAATAAATATTCAAAACAAAATATATATAGCAATCAAAAGTTTGATGATCAAATTTGATATAATCAGCAAATAATGACATTTTTAAATTTTTCACAACTTCCGGAAAGTGTTTTCCTCCCAAATTTTTCAGAAAAACACTTTTCTGAAAATCAAGCCAAACTTTCCTTTGACTGAAAAGTGTTTTCCGTTTACCAACTTTCCTAACAGCAAACAAACACAAGAAAGTTTGGAAAGTGTTTTCCCGAAAACCACTTTCCGGAAAACAAACACAACTAAAAAGGAAAACACTTTCCTGAAAACCAAGCCAATTTTTTTTACTAAAAAATATTTTCGTTAACCAGAAAGTGTTTTCCGTTGACCAACTTTCTTAATGACAAACAAACACAGGAAAGTTTGGGAAGTGATTTCCCGAAAACTATTTTCCGGGAAACAAACATGGCCTAAGTCATATAAGCTTTAGTGGTTGAATGAATTTGAAGAAGTTAGGGCAACTAAGCAGTTTTTGGCTTCATTCATAGTAGGAAAGTTAAAGAATAAGGTTGTATGTGATGTTGTTCCTGTGAATGCTACACACATATTGTTGAGGAGACCTTGACAATTTAATAGGAAGACCAAGCATGATAGATTCAGAAAAAGGTATATTGCGGAGAAATATGGAAAGATTTACACGCTCCATTGTCACCAAGGCAAGTATATGTGGATCAATTAAAGTTTAAGAAAGTTGAGGAAGCTGAACAAGAATTTATAAAAAATAATGATGAGGATGTGTGAGGTCGAGTGAAAATAAGATGAGTCATGAGTGTGAAACAATTGAGGAGAGAGTTTTAGCCATTAGAGATAGGTTTGAAGATTTTGGCCAAAAAAAAGAAGAAAACATATGGAAGGCCAAAAGTGGAGAGAAGCCAAGAGTGGTGAGAGAAGTGTATGTAGAAACATTTGGGGAAACAACTTAATTTATATGCAGGAATTTGAGGATATCTTTCCTTAAGAGATCCATACTTGGTTGTCACCAATTTGAGGGACTGGACATCAAAATTGTGTGCCATGAGCATCAATTCCAAACCAGCTAGCCTATAAAAGCAATCCCGATGAGACTAAGGAGCTTCAAAGTCAAGTAGAAGAGTTGATGTTGAAATGTTACATTCAAGAAAGTATATGTTCTTGTGCAGTTTCAGTGTTACTTGTGCCTAAAAAAGCAATACTTGGCGTAAGTAAATTGATTTTAGAACCATTAACAACATTATTGTAAAGTATAGATATCATATCCCTAAATTAGATAATATGCTTGATAAGTTACATCGTTTTTCTGTGTTTTTTAAAATTGATTTGAAAAATAGTTATCATCAAATTAGAATGAAAGAATGAAATGCATGGAAGACTATTCAAAACTAAATATGGATTGTACAGTGATACTTTTTGATTTGATTAATGCCCCTAGTTCATTCGTGTACATTCATAAGGTTATTGAATCACGTGTTGAGATCTTTCATTGGAAATTTGTTGCCTATTTTGATGATATCTTGACTTATAAAAAAGGATTAAATGTGTATATTAAATCATTTAAGACAAGTTCTTGAAATATTTAGAAAGGAAAAGATTATATACTAGTCCAAAGAAGTGTGATTTTTGCATAAAAAGAACTAAACACTTAGGTTATGTTGTTAGTGCAAAAGAGTTTTAAGCATTAATGACAACCTTGAAGACATAGACAACATTATCTTTGGCCCAAGAAGTTTGTGATTCATAAGGACCATCACCCTCTAAAACACTTAAAGAGTCAAGGTAACTCGAGTAGACGACATGCCAGGTGGATCAAGCTCATTGGGATGTTCTCATGTGTCATCAAGTATAAGCAAGGTAAGGAAAACATCGTTGCAGATTCATTGTCTTGAAGGTAAGTTGCGAAAGAATTATATTTGGATGATGATGACTTTGGTCAAGTGTATGGACAATGTGAACATTCAATCTTTGATAAGTATTTTAAGCATGATGAATTTTTGTTTAAACATAAGAGATTGTGTGAGCCTAAATGTTAGTGAAAGCTTATAGGGACGGTTTAATAGGACATTTTAGGGTAGCTATAGCTTTGTAAATGATACATGAGCATTTTTACTAGCCTAACAAAAAAATAAAAGTTCAAAGAATATGTGATAGATGCATAACATGTAAACAAACCACATCTAAATGCATTCCTCAATGTTTGTATACACCTTAACCAATACCCAATAAACCTAGGATATATGTCAAAGGATTTTGTTTTAAGGTTACCTAGATTTAAAGAGGATAAAGATTCAATATTTATTGTAAATAGGTTTTCTAAGATAGCACAATTCATATCATTCCATAAAGTCAATTATACAACAAACATAGCAAATCTTTTCTTTAGAAAAATAGTTTGGTTACGTTGTGTTTCAAGGAACATTGTGTCTAATAGAGATGTTAAATTTATAAGCTACTTTTGAAAAGTTTTGTCAGGTAAGTTAGGAAATAAATTGTTATTTTTTACTATTTGTCATCCATAGACAAAAGGCCAAACAAGTAAATACAACTTTAACTCAATTGTTGAAAACTATCATCCAAAAAAATCTTAAAAATTAAGAAAATTATGTCATTTAATGAGTTTGCATATAATAAAAGTGCATTCTACAACAAAAATTTTTCCTTTTGAAATTGTGTATGGTTTTAATCATTTAACTCCTTTGGATTTATTGTCTTAACCTATTGATGAAAAAGTTAGTTTTGATGAGAATAGAAAAGCACAGGTTGTCAAAGATTTGCATACAAAGGTACAACAACATATTGAAAAAATAAATAAACAATATGCATTAAAAGCCAATAAGAGAAGGAAAAAAGGTGGTTTGAGTGCATAAGAGAAAAAATAGATTTCTTGAAGTTGATGTCGAGAGAAGATGAGAACATTCCAAATCATTGAGAAGATCAATGATAATGCCTACAAAGTGAAATTACCAAGCGAATAAAGTATTAGCGTTCTATTTAATGTTTCTAACCTTTCTTTATTTGATGTAGATGATGATTGAGAGTAAATCCTCACTTCAACCCTAAGAGATTCCATGAGGTTCAGTTACAAGACTTAGAACAAAAAAGTTCAAGAAGGCAATTAATAAACTTCTTCAAGATACATGGTCTAAAATGGACTTTGAGAGGATATCAAAGAATAAAGAATAAGTCTTGAATAATTTGATTCACATTCAAGAAGGGCTTATTGGGGATCATCCAAGCATTATAAAAATATTGAAATAAAAAAATTAAATTTGTCAATTTTGACCTCTTGCTATTGTTTTGACCATAAAAGGAGCTACAAAAAAAATTTTGATACGATTACAAATGCATTGGAAAGTAGACAACCACAACTTTCAATGATATATGGTTGAGCTTTTAATTCATAAAGACGAGGAGAATCATTTGTTTGAATTTGGGTTTCAATTCTGCTAGTAAATCCAACAAATTACAAATGAATGTTCAAAGAATATGTGATAGATGCATAGCATGTAAACAAACCAAGTTTAAAGTCATTCTTCAATGTTTGAATACATCTTTACCAGTATATAAGAAACATTGGATTGATATATCAAAGGATTTTGTTTTATGGATACTCAATATTTGTTGTTGTGGATTTCTAAAATAGCACATTTCATAAAATGGATGATGCAACCAATATAGCGAATCTTTTCTTTGAAAAAATAGTTTGGTTATATTGTGTTTCAAGGAGCATTGTATCCGATAAAAATGTTAAATTTCTAAGCCACTTTTGAAAAGTTGTGTGGGGTAAGTTAGAAACTATATTGTTATTTTTTACTACTTATCATCCCAAGATAGAAGGCCAAACAAAGATGGTAAATAAAACTTTAACTCAATTGTTAAAAACTACTATCCAAAAAAATCTTAAAAATTAAGAAAATTGTTTGTCATTTAATGAGTTTGCATATAATAGGAATGCATTCTACAATAAAGTTTTCTCCTTTCAAGATTGTGTATGATTTTAATCATTTAACTCCATTGGATTTATTGTCTTAACCTTTTAATGAAAAATTTCATTTTGATGAGAATAGGAAAGACACAAGTTGTCAAAGATTTGCATACCAAAGTACAACAACATATTGAAAAGATAAAAGAACAAAATGCATTTGAAGTCAATAAGAAAACGAAAAAAGATGGTATTTAAACCAAGAAATTGGGTTTTGGTGCAAATAGAAAAAAAAAATTATCTTGCTTAAAGAAGATTTAAATTGATGTTAGGAGGAGACAGACCATTTCCAATCATTGAGAAGATCAATGATAATGTCAAAAAAATAAAATTACTAGGTGAATATGGTGTTAGTGCTACATATAATGTATTTGATCTATTTTTATATGTAGGTAATGATTCAAGGGAGAATCCTTTCGAGGAGAGAGGAAATAATGCGATCTTAACTTCAACACCAAGAAATCCATTAGATATTCCATTAGGTCCAATCACAAGACTTAAGGCAAAAAGGTTCAAGAAGGCAATTAATAAACTTCTTCAAGATACATGAGCTATGATAGACTTCAAAAGGATATCAAAGGTTGAAGAACAAGTCTTGAATATTTTGATTCACGTTCAAGAAGGGTTTGCAAGAGAGTATCCAAACATTACAGAAAGATTGAAATAAAAAAATTCAAATCTATCAGTGTTGACCTTTCACTACTGATTTGACCATAAATGAAAAAAGAATTTTGATACGATTCTAGATGCATTAGAAAGTAGACTTCCACAACTTTCTAGTGATATACTTATTTGTTTAAAGTCGAGCTTTGATTCTACTACCACGTTACATAAAATTCATCTTTTTGATCTTATTTTAATTAGTTTCAATATTATTTATTTATCTTTTAGTTTATTTTAGAGCCTGTGGAATTTAAAAGTTTATTTTGGTCAAGTCTTATATTATTATTTTAGTTATTTTGGGATTTTAAAGTGTTAAGTTCTATTTATCATGTTTGGATCCATCAAGTCAAATCAGGTCAAGTCTTATTTTAAGTTCTATTATTATTTTAGCTAATAAACCAATTATTAGCATTATTTTTCAGTTTATGAAATTTTCTCTGAAGTAACCGCATATTCTGTGCTTTGTTTCTCTTTGTGGTTGATGGATTCTCAAACTAACTTCTTTGAACTTGCAAACTCTTTGAAGGATTGATCATCTTCATTGTGATTTATACTTCTTGTTTGTGTTTTTTTAAAGGCATAAGATGACTGTGATTAAATTACATATAACTTTGGTTCTCTAAGACAAGGTTCTTGTAGGGTAAAGTTATAAACTTTTCTTCAAATCTCAATTTAGCAATCTAAAGGAAAATTATGCATCACCATGCATTTAGACAAAAAAAAAATAACCAAACAAGGCATAAATAGTGAAAATAAACATAATCAACATAAGTTTATTTGAAAAAAGCGGAATGATGTATAATAACAACACTCAACTGTTTTTGATAATTCACTTCCCATCTCCATAGTACGCAGACATAGCGGAATAATCTCAGTAGAAAGAAGGAAACTAATAACTTCTGTGTCATCAACCTAGTAACCATTAGAAAAAAAATTAAGATCAAAATTTCAAACTAATTGAGAACAAAAACAACAAAAATATAAGCTACATATGTAGAGATCAACATAATCAAATACTCTTTAGTTTGGATAAATATTGATATGCTTGGGCCAAGTAACAAGGCAATGTGGATAAATGTAGAGATCAACACATTCGTACATCATTATCTTTATGAGAAACAAGTTTGTTGTTCTATAAAGCTATGATGGTTAAGTACAAAAAGGTTTCGAAATTGCACTATTAAATTATAAAGAATATAAAGATCATGAATTTGAGGAATAGAATATCAAAAAGGTTGAAGTACCTTCACTAGGGCACCAATGACACCTAAACTAGTAAGCCTTAGGTACTCGAAAGGCCTTGATTTGCTAGTTGTATTTAGGAAAGGGTAGAGATATAAGGGTATATGAGCTGCAAAGGGAAAAAAAAGAAATGGTCAACTAGAAGAATACATACAACAAGTTAATTAGCTTATGCCATATTCACAAGGATAGCAAAAAAATTATTCTTCCCGTGAAACAAAATTCAAGACATATGATCCAAACAACAATAATAAAGTTTCCTCTCAACTGCTACTCAAGTGAGCAAACAAGATTGAGAACATTACCATTGAGAAACAACATCCTAGTGTCAGGATGTGAAGCTACACACTGTAAGAAAATACAAAAAAAGATTATGAACATCATAAATAACTTCAAGCCTGAAACAAAATAAAAAGAACTGTAAAAGTACAGAGACAGAGAATATCTATACTCACTCTTCAACATTGCATAAGTTAGGCAAGCAAAATGAAACAAACAGCATGTTGTGATATTAGACATAAAAAGAAAAAAAGAATTATCAAATTGTCTTCGTTACACTAGCACTTCTTTTCTTATTTGTTTTTTTTTCTTTTAAATTTTCTTTTTCCTCATATACTATCAGTAAATGCTTTAGTTCGTTTGGAACTCCAAAATAGAACTCCAAAATAATTTTAAGTATTTAACCTATTATAGAAACGTGTTGAAAAATAATTTCCTTTTTACCTTATAATAGATGCATTTAAACATAAATGCCAACAATATCTCCCCTATGCTCAAAGAAATTAGCAAGTAGGCAATACACCCACCATAATCACCATAATAGATAGCCACATGGGAAATTGATTTTTAACTCTTGAATTATGCATCAATAATATTTCCCAAACTAATAAAGGTAAGATTTGTACAAGAAGTGTTTGATCATTGATCCATTGAACTTTTGAGCATTTAATGCTTCACTTGAGTACCTAGAAGTGTTTTAGCATCTTAAATCATAATTCCTCTAAATAAAAAATATATGACAATCCATGCATAATAAATTTCCAATGAAGGGAAAGAAGCAAAGTTGAATTTATTAATGAAAAAAACTAAACTAGAAAATAAACATAACAATAACCAGAGGAACAAGAAAAACAAATAATTTTGACCTGAAGAAGTGCTAGAGCATTGCAAACTCGATTTGATTGTGCGGGACTTAAGTTAGGTGGTGATAAAACTGGGTATATTGAAACGATCTCCTGCAAATAAGAGGAAAACTCAAAAATCATGGAAAAAACATGTATCAAGCACTTTGAGAGTTGAAAACTTTTACACTTATCTACAATCTCTGGAAAACTAAAAGGCATGGAGAGGACATGAGAACTACACAACACCAGTGGTGTTTATTTAGCTTATTAAGCTCCAACCAAAATCACGAAAAAATCATGCAAAACAGTCACAAATGTTCTGTTGACAAGCTGGAATAAAAAGAGCTCCAGAATAAACACACAATAAATATCAACTCAAACATGAAAGGAATGAAATAAAACATCATCAATTCAAACTAGTTTAAAGAGATCATAGAGAAGTAACATGCATATTCCTTTTGTCCTTATAGTACAAAACATTTTAATTCCCTCACTCATGTCCTCAATATGATCTATGTTTATTTCTTTGTCTGTTAGCATAATGCATTCGGATCAAAGGAAATATATATATATATATATATATATAGAAGTTATAAAGGAAATTCGAAAAGATAAAATATATCACAACGCAACATCAATGACTTCATGCTAACATGAGCAAGAGAGGAGATAATTTAACAAGGAACTGATATTAAAGTATCAACTTCAAATGGCATACCTGTAATAATGCAGCAATTGTACCAAAAGAATTCCACAACAATGGAGCCAAATCTTGAAATAATTCTCTCTTCTAAAAATAAAAACAAAAACAAGTTTATTAGGCATACCTGAATGAGTGCAGCAATAGTACCAAAAGAATTCCACACGAAAGGAGCCAAATCTTGAAATAAATCCTTGTTCTAAAAAATGAAAGCAAAGGTACTGGTTTATGATGGCAGAAAATGAATGTTCAACAGCTAAATGGCACAACCACTTAAAAGGAAAAAAATTGGCAAGGTCCACATATAACAAGTTGATTACATGCAGCTATTGCACATGAAACTATGTCCAGCTGTGCATGCGTGCATGTATCTCTTCTTGTTTAAGCATATACAGAGAACTGATTTACAATGAAAATGAAATAGTTTCTCCCCCTCACATGTATGCAGCCAGCCAAGGTAAAGATTCCTTAGCATGCAAAATCAAAGAAGCGTTTTGACAACCAGTCTACCACTTTAATGGCCTCCAATTTAAAATGAAAAAATACCTCGTGTTTAAGTATACAATGTTTTATTGCAAGAAAAGTTTGAATGTGCCTTGAATTCTAAGTTTCACTAGTTCAGGACAGCCTTTATCTTCCTCAACTGCACAAAATGGAGAAAATCATGGGTGGTGCCCAGCAGGTGGTGGATCTCTTTTAAGCCAATAATCATATATTTCCTTCTCATTCCACTGTCTATCGTAATTTATTAAGTACAAAACAATAATTCTCACGAAATTATCTATTCTTCTTCTTGTAAACAAAAACAAATAAAATAAAATATAGCGAGAGACCCCTCATTATTATTAGGGTTTCAACCAAAACCCCTAATTTCTCAATTCTCAATTTCTTTTCTAAAAAGTAATTGGTAATTTTGTCGTTACCTTAGAGAGCTCAAGAAGGGCGTTTTCACGAAGATCAGGATTGCTAAGGTCAAGAACCAGGTGCTCTGCTGATGCCATCTTCCGGTCTTTGTTGGCGGGAGCTCCGGCGGCGGCGGCGGGATTAGACGCGTTTGGTCCTCCGAAAGTTGTGTTCATCGACAGAGATTGAGGAAGGTTTGCCATTAAATTGTTTATCAAATTAAAATTTTCATGTGTCTTGTTTTGTTATTTCTTTCTTGATTTTATAATTTGCATAGGTGATTTCCGTATTTTAGAGACTGTTAGCGACCACGTGCTTCGCATACGCGTGGGAGTTTCTATTACCTATATTTATATTGACATTTCCATTCCATTTCGCTTCACCCAAGATCATTGGTCTTGGCGGCGGGAGCTCCGTCGGCAATTTGAAATTTTGAAAAGTTTATAAGAACAAATCTAAAATTTAAGCGACCTTTTGTAACAAAATAATATTCTAATTTTTTGATGTAAAAAATGAGATTTTTTGTTTAAATATAATTTTTTTCATTGTAAAATAATAAAATATTTTTTTGAAAAGTTTTCTCCTTCAAGGTCTTTCCTCCTAGGATTTTACCTTTACAATATTACACATAGCCTCTATATATATTATTTTTTAGACTTTTACTTACATCACTTATTATATCAGAAAATACTGAAGTACACTTAATAATGTACTCTTATAATACAAAACCACATATTAGTACAACACTAATATCAACTGATATAATAAATTCATGATCTGAAGAAAGATTCTGATTTAATAGGTTATCTTGATCACGAATAGTTTAGACTTGTATGACCAACACATAGTTATTTTATGCAAGCATTTCCATCTCATATGGTTCCAGAAGCTTTAGTATTTCTAAAATTGTTTGTTTGAGTTTTTGATTCTTGTACTGTATCTGCAAGTTATGAAGATAAACAGAATATTGAGGGTCATATAGATCATAGTCAATTTCTTCATTATGATCTATTCCTTTAGGCCATATTTTATTAGGACTAATGTTGTTCTTAAGGCACACTGTTTTTTATAAGATCCTGATATCTGAGAGGTTATCTAAGGGGTTTTCATACAGTGAGTATGAATGAGTTTTGTATACTACAGCTTGTGGAAAATTTATAACCATATTGTCTGTTGAAGTTTTGAAATGCTTGTGGAATATGAAAATAAAGAACAGATAGGCAAAAGCTTACTTAATAGATTTATCATAAAGTGTACTATAGTGTATTTCAATCCAACAGATTTGGCATGGGGCCATTTGGATTTTTCCTATTGGAGAAGAGAGATCCATTATGTGGGATTGTAGAACCAAGTGAGGAACTTTAGAGTATAGTTCCAAGACTTAGCAAGCCAAAATGTCTTGAGAAATCTGGAAAGAAAAAAAATATGTGGGAAACTTGATGGCAATATGATACAGGTGATAGAAATACCATAAGAAAAAGTAGAGTTCTTTGGGGAACAATCCAGCAGGTTTAAAGGTAAAGAGATGAGTAAAAGGACATTTGGGATAGATGCCTAAGCTTTTGAAATAAAGGGAAGACATATCATAGTTGAGAAGAAGGTAGTCTTGGAGGCTAAATATGTTGTCTTTTGTTTGCAGGTCAAAAATGTGGTTAAAAATCATTTCTCAAGCAAGACGAGGTAAGTCATTGCAGGGAAGTCTTGTTCAGGTGGATGCGGATTGTAAGAGGAGGCTATAAGAATAAGGGATAGAAGGGTTAACACCTAAAGATAGGCAAATAGTTGAATTGATGTGCAATGGAACTTTTGAAGATAAAGACCCTGATGAAGCAATGGAGTACTTAGACTTGTTAGCTGAAAATGCTCAAAATTGGGACACCGCGGGTACTTATGAGGCACCGAGTAAAACTCAACCTCATACATCTAGTGGAGGTATGTACAACCTTAGGGAAGATCATGACCTTCAAGTCAAGTTTGCATCTTTAGCTAGAAAAGTCGAGGCACTAGAATTGAAAAAGAGTGGTCAATTAAAATCTGTTGAAAACATTGTGTGTCAAATCTGTGAAACAAATGAACACTCAACCAACGATTGTCCAACCTTGCCTTCTTTTAAAGAATGTCTCCATGAACAAGCCCATGCTTTAAACAGTTTTCAAAAGGCCAACCACAACCCATACTCCCAAACATACAACCCTGGTTGGAGGAATCACCCAAATTTCAGTTGGAAGAGTGAGAACAACAATGCACAAACTTCACAACCACCGTTTCAAGCACACCATAATTTCCAAAATTCTCATGGATATGCACCTCCTTATGCTCCACCTCCTAGAAGAAATCTTGAGGAAACATTGCATGCATTCATTGAAAAGCAAGAGACAATCAATACTCAACTTGCTCAAAACATGACAGATTTTAAAGATACTCTTGCTAAATTAACATCTGCTCTCAGTTTCCAAGAGAAAGGTAAGTTTCCATCTCAAACACAACAAAATCCCAAAGGGCAATACAATGCAAATGCAAGTAGTTCCGGAAGCCAACACATGGATCAAGTCAAATCAGTCACTACTCTGCGCAGTGGTAAGGTTATTGAAAAACCCTCTCTTGAACCTTATGAGAAAGATGATGAATCAATCTCTGAGGGTAAGGAAGGGGATGAATCTGAAAATTGCAAAGAAACGACTGATTCACCGCCAGCACTTCCATTTCCTCATGCCATGACCAAACAAAGGAAAGTCAATCACAATTCTGAAATTTATGAAATTTTCAAACAGGTAAGGATCAATATACCTTTGCTGGATGCAATTAAACAGGTTCCTTCCTATGCTAAATTTTTGAAAGATCTCTGCACTGTGAAGAGGAAACTGAATGTGAAAAAGAAAGCCTTTCTAGCCGAACAAGTAAGTGTTATTCTTCAAAACAATAATGCTTTGAAATATAAAGACCCTGGTTGTCCTACAATTTCTTGCTTTATTGGAGAGCATAAAATTGAAAGAGCTTTACTTGATCTTGGTGCTAGTGTGAATTTACTTCCATATTCAGTTTTTCAGAGTCTCAATCTAGGTGAGTTAAAACCAACTTCTATATCTCTTTTACTTGCCGATAGATCTGTAAAAGTGCCTAGAGGAATAATTGAAGATGTGTTAGTACAAGTCGATAAATTCATTTATCCTGTGGATTTTATTGTCTTGGACACACAACCTGTTCAAGTATGTAATTCATTTCCTGTTATTTTAGGACGTCCATTTCTTACAACCTCTAATGCATTGATTAATTGTAGGAATGGACTGATGAAGCTATCATTTGGAAACATGACATTGGAGATGAATATTTTCAACATTTGCAAGCAACCTCGAGATGATAATCATTTACAAGAAGTAGATCATATTGACGAATTAGTTTATGATCAACTTGAATCTACTTTAAGTAAAAATGAATTGGATGAAACTGAAGATTTGCAAATGGTTTATTCTGAGGAAGAAATCACGGATGAAACAAGCACCGAAAATGTTGATGCGAATCTTTTGTCAACAGTGACAACAGATTCGACATTTGACATCACACCAATAGATGATTACTTTCCTAACGAATCCTTACTTTCTCTTAGTCCAATGCCTTGGTATGATAAAAATATCAATTTTCTTGCTTTAGGAGATTTGCCAACTGATTGGAGTACTCAAGACAAAGAAAAGTTTTTGAACGAAGTGAAGAATTTTTATTGTGATGACCCTAACTTATTCAAATATTGTCCTGATCAAATATTTCAAAGATTCATTCCCGACAATGAGGTAAGTAGTGTCATTAAACTTTGTCATTCTGAAGCATGTGGAAGTTGTTTCTCGTCAAAAAAGACAATTGCAAAAATATTTCAAAATGGATTTTATTGGCCCACCATGTTCAAAGACACGCATGCATTCTGCAAAACTTGTGAAAATTGTCAAAAAATTGACACTGGTCAAAAAGTTTTGTTTTATGATTCTCAACTCTATGCATTCCTTAAAGAGCTAAGATTAAGATGGACCAATCCTTATGGGGCCTGTGATATTGAGAATTCAATGAATGACAATGATTTTAAGGAAAATGGACATCGTTTGAAAGCTTACTTTGATAATTTTCCTAGTGAAAATGAATCAGCTAGTTTGAATGATCTTGTAGATAAAGGTTGATTATTTTGTTTTTCTCACATTTTCTTTTTTTATGTTTCTTTTTGAGTGATTTTTGCTAGTTTCTCTCACCCCGGTCAAATGGCGGATAACGGTACTCCGTGACTTAAGTTGGTTCTTTCAGTTTCTCACAATTACTGATATCTGTGTATATATCTGTGCAATTCTTTGAATCTCTCTTCCAATTCTCATTTGAAAATGGACACTAATCTTGAAAAATTGAAAAAGTATTTTCCCGCTCTGCCTCAGAATGCGATTACAAAAATTTACCGTGCTAGATGTGCAAGATTGAGATTGTTAATGAATCATGGAATTCCTGAAGATATTCGCTGGTTGATTGCAGCAAAGGTCCGATTATCAGGTGAGTCCTCTAATTTCTTTATTTCACACATGCCTGGAACAGGTAAAAGCACTTTTGCAAAGAAGCGTCGTGCAAAACGACTGGATGTCTGTCATCGATGTGCTAGATGGACTTGTAATACACAATGTCGTTCTTTAGGAATGGTATTTATAAACCGTGAAGATAAAATACAATTCATTAAGGATGGCCTGAGTAAGGAGTCTTTAGATAATCTTCTATTGACTCTTGAGACGAATCCTAGTGGAGATGTGCATCGTGCAATTCATGATTTATGGCCGCTATTTCATAAAGAACATGATCGACTTAGTCTTGGGAATCTGACTAAAAAAGACCCTGTTTGCCAGTTTTTAAGAAAACTGGATGGGAAGCCTATCCCCGACCTATAAAGGGTGTTTAAGTCGTTCTTGGACGTAAAACCAAGGAAAGATGTGAGCCACAATCACAACTACCTGTACATACACATGTTTTTTTTCAAAAGTAAATGAATAAATAAATAAAAAGAGAGAGAGAGTGTGTGAGACTCTAGCTGGCCTACATATAGGTGTTATGATTGCCTTTCTAATTCCTCATCTATAAAACCCTTTTTTCCTTCCTTTCATTTCTACTAAACCCATACATTCAACAAATACAGAAGTGTGTAGAAATGGCAAGTTCCTCAAGTCATCAAATAAGAAATATTTGTGTTTTCGGTGGATCTAGTCCTGGGAAAGAAAATGAGTTTTTAGAATCAGCAAATCATCTTAGTCAGGTGCTAGCTGAGAGAAAGATTCATTTAGTGTATGGGGGAGGCAGTCTTGGGTTAATGGGAGGTGTGTCAATAG